AAACAGATTTGTGTCGTCAGCAAAAAGCCTAAACTGGAAAGTGTTGTGATGATTTTACAATATCATTTATATAAATTAAAAACAAAAGTGGTCCAAGAATGGACCCTTGTGGGACCCCACAAGAAATTACTTTATAATCAGAATTACAATTATTTAAATTAACATATTGCTGGCGGTCTTCTAAATAAGATTCAAACCAACTCAAAGTAGACCCTCTTATACCATAATAATGTAATTTAGACAATAATATGGTATGGTTAATGGTGTCAAAAGCCTTTCTGAGGTCTAGAAAAATACCAAATGTGATAAAACCGTCATCTATTTGTTTTGAAATCTCAGCAGTAAGGTCAGCTAAAGCTAATTTGGTGCTGTGATGCTTACGGAATCCATATTGGTTTTCATCAAGAATTTGGAATTTTTCTAGAAAAGCACACATCTGTTTATTTACTAAAGATTCAAACAATTTGCTAATAATGGGTAACACTGATATCGGCCTATAATTACCAACTTCAAATGCACAACCTTTTTTAAATAATGGAGAAACCCGGGCTATTTTTAATTTATCAGGGAATATACCCGTGTACACAGAACAGTTAAAAATATGAGCCAGTGGTTCAGCAATTTGTTCAGCAGCCTGCTTGATAAGTTTAGGGAACATATTGTCATAGCCAACTGCTTTATTAGGATCTAATTTATCGATCTCTTTTAAAATATCATGAGCACAAACTGGGCTGAAAAATAATGAATGTGATTGTCTACTATCAAGGTAATCATTGAAGTTGGCATTACAATTGATTTTAGATGCATAATTTGGACCAACATTAACAAAATACGAATTAAACTTCTCAGCAATATCCCTACCCTCTGTCACAAATTCATCTGGGTTAGTACTCACTCTAAGTTTATGTGGAAAACGATCATTACATGACTGATTATTCCGCAGTTCGTTTATAACCTGCCATGTTTTATTGCTATTTCCAATAACATTTGCCAGCTTGCCAGAAAAGTAAGACTTCTTAGCAATTTTTAATAATTTTGACAAAATATTACGATAAATTTTGTATTGAATGTGAATTGGTGAACTGGGACTATGTCGCTTAGTTTTTGAGAAAAGTCTATGTTTTGTTTTAATTGAAATGAGAAGCCCCTTAGATAACCATGGTTTTTGTGATGATTTTGATGCAGAATAAATCATTTTCTTAGGTAGATGTTTAGTAATTATATCACTAAACAAATTATAAAAATAATCATATGCCAAATTCGGATCCAATAAAGTATAAATATTTGTCCAAGAAATATTGGCCATTTCCGCTTCAAATGCATCTGAATGAAACTGCGAGAAGTCAAATTTATATCTAACCGACTTTCTGTTAAAAACATGATGTAGATCCCTGAATAGGGCAAACACTGGGAAATGGTCACTAATATCAGTTTCAATAGTACCTCCTTCGATGAAATAATCAGAAAAATTTATGAGACAATGGTCTATTGTTGTGCATGTAGTACTAGTTACTCTGGTCGGAACATCTATGATTTGTTGAAAATTATTTTCATTAAGTAAGGTAACATATTCAAATTGTGAAATATTTGTACAACTAACGTCTATATTGAAATCACCGAGGATAACACAACGTTTTTTGTTACTTGAAAAATGTTCGAGACAGACTTCAAAACTCTCCAGAAATTCATGTACAGGTGTATTTGGTTTTGTGATAGATAACTCCTACTGTGATTTGTTTAATGCCTATTTGTATTTCCACGAATAATGATTCACAGTGACGTAAAGTAATTGAATCAATCATAGTATATGATAATGACTGGTGTACATAAAGACCCACACCACCACCACTGGAGTAGTTGCGGCTATTATTAATAAAGTTATATGGTGGTATTTTATAAATTGAAGTTTCCGAACCGGGATGTAACCACGTTTCAGTAACACCAATTAGAGAAAATTTGCATTTCAATAAACTTAAAAAAGTTGACAGGTCATCAAAGTGTGCACTTAGTGACCGAATATTTAAATGAAGAGCAGATAAATTATTTGATAACAAAGGAAGTGATTCCTTACCATTGAACTCATTTAAAGAATAGGATTGACAGATGCTATGATTTTGTAGTAAACTGTATATTGAGTCTGGATCCATCAATATGATTGGTTGTTATACATTAAGTACACATAACAATGGTGACATTAGCATATCTTAGTAAGGCTTTCTTCATCGGCAATATGGACCACAGGTGACAATTCGTCTTTCTTTATTAAAATTCTACCATTATGTGTCCACATAAATTTCCATTTAAAATGCTTTCTTTTGATGTTTACCTTTGTCAATAATGATTTCGCCATTGGTGTTAAGTTCTCATTAATATAGATAACATTTGCAGCTCGATACCCGATGTTTGATGAATTGACATCAGCTAGCTTTTTACGATTTTTGAACACAGAATCACGAACTCTTCTTGTAGTAAAACGAACAATAATTGGAGATGGATATTTATGATGTTGTTCACCGGATACTTGACGTTTTCCAAAACGATGCGAAGCATCAATGTCCGACATCGTTACATTATTATCGGCGATTTTAGCAACTTTCAAAGCTATTTCGTCAGTATCCTCGTTATCTGTTTCAGGGATGCCAGTAATAACAATATTTTCCCGTCTCGTATATTGATCCAAATCATTATAATTTCGCTCCAAACTTGAAACCTTTCTTTTTAATAGACCATTTTCAGCAATAAGTAGATGGTTAGTGTTTTGTATTTCCTCTAGTTTCTTTTTATTTTCTTCATAGACATCATTAATAAATTTCATAGATTTTTCTACCTGCTCCAATTTCCCCTCTAATACGTTGATTTTCTGTAGCTTTTCATTAATACTACGAATTTCACGTAGTATTGTTGCCATATTGTCATCACCATTGTTAGGAGAACCACCTGTTGTGTTGGTATTCACTGTATTCGCCGCCATATCGGCTTCATCCGTGGTAGAAAATCGTTTTACCTTGCATTTTCCACAAAGTGGTAAATCCCCTTGGCACAAAACCACGCCTCGTTTCACGTTACAGTCATTGCACTTCATTATGTAAAGTCGCAGAGGTAAAATTACTCACGAATACTGAGTTTTTTTGAATTAGACCAAGAGCTTAGAAAATGTACCTGTTCACTGTTCACTGTCCCACAATGCAATAATTGAACCCATTCATGCTAGTACGCCAATCCCACAGAATTGCTACTATGAAAGACCTTGATAACTGACTACTTAAAAGTTGAGGAAATATGGCGAGGTGTTGTGTTATGAATGCCGTAACGATTCATGTTATGTTTCTCGAAATCCCAAATAAAAAATCACGTTGTTGGTTGCGAGAAATCGGCGGAAGAACTAACCTGAAAGTGAAGACAGTACAGCGTTCTGGCTATAGTAAACAGTGAGTGAATAAATATTGTACGAGTTAAAACTAAATGAAAAATATGCTAATATCACTTGAACCACAGTACTCATTTTGCCCAACTTCCCACTTTTTAAATGATCGCTTAATTTCCGACCGCACTGTATTTTCCGACCGGAAAACGACCACATTTTTACCGTTTTTTTTTCTCTCGCTCGTATATTGAAAACACCGACCGCTCGCCCAAACACTGGTCACCGGTACAGGAGTAGTCAAATTTTTTGGGGATATACAACAAGTGTTAATTATTATAAATTCTGAACGGCTCTTCAAATCTATACCACTCTGTATCATTCGCGAACAACTTCATCTGTGTCAAATACTAGAGCCGGTACAATATTGTAAACAAATGCCATGATATCTCAGTCATATCGCTATTGTATAC